TTTTAAAGTGAAATCAGTAATTATTTTATAACAAATTTATATCAGTAATGTTTAGCTTGAATTTAAAAGTAGCGTTCCAATTCCAGTTTTTCTCAGTCCTGCAGGGAGAGATGAATGGAAAATCATTTTTAAGGCCTTGTATACCATCATGTCAGATGAGCAGGAGTCACATTGAGGCTTATAGAGGAGGCTGAACTAAAAAGACAGAGAGGGAGAGTTTATGTGGAGGAGGTCAGACAAACACAGTATGAAAGAGTGAGATGATGGATGGCCTTAAAATTTAAAGTAGGACTTTAAATTCAAGGCAGCATCTGATTGGGATCCTGTGGAGTTGTTAAAGAGAGGAGAAATGTGACTGGTGGTTGGATTTCTGGATATCACAAAGACAGCAGCATTTGGAACTAAATGCAGTGTCTGAGTGTATGTATGAGTTAAACTGAAGATCAGATAATTGCTGTAGTCCAGAAGAGATGTCATGAGACTGTTGACCAGTCCTATTTTCATCCTCAGAAGTCTAATGTGAAGTTTCTGACAAAAAACAAAAAGTATTGAATATATTCACGGTGAAGGAAGAGAGTTAGTGCATGCATTAAAAAGTCAACTCTACATTAAAATGTAATTTTTAATGCCCAAGCTGCTTTAAAAGTACAATGTTGTAAGAATATGTTGTTGTTATTGTTTTTTTTTTTCAAGCCATCTATCGTTCAGAATAGTAAAGATGAACGATACATTTTCTATATTCTTGGACACACTGAACATGTTTGAAGTTTTGGAAGTTTTTTCTTAGACATGACCCCAGGGTGGCGCTATAAAACAGGACTAGGATATTTCGAGTGACGTCTCTCGTTTTGCGTGTCTTCATCATACTGCTACTGTTTTGTCGTGGAGGAATATCGCAGATTTGTGTGGTTGCTGGTGTTTTGTGCTTGAACTGGATAATATTCCCTTTATCATTCACTGATTCTTCATATTGACTGAAGTTAATCCACAATGAATTCTATATTAGCCATTGTTCAGTCGTGGGGATATTTTGTATTCGTTTTTTGGATCCAAGTCGCGCATGGAGACATGAGCTATTCTTTATCGGAGGAGATGAAACAAGGTTCAATTATTGGAAATATCGCTAAGGATCTCGGGCTGCAGACAGGTGCGCTGTCCACCAGAAGAGCCCGAATTGACACCGAAGGGACTGATAAACATTACTGTGACATAAACCCGGAGCACGGAGAGCTGATTGTCGCGGAGAGGATTGACCGTGAGGAGCTTTGTGGCGAAAAGGCATCGTGCATCTTAAAACAAGAGCTCGTTCTGGAGAATCCTCTGGAGCTGCATCGGATCAGCCTTCATGTTCAAGATATAAATGATAACTCGCCACAGTTTAAGGATGAATTTATAACGTTAGAAATCCATGAATCGTCAATGAGGGGAGCACGCTTTGTGATCGAGGAGGCGCACGATGCGGATGTCGGACAAAATTCAGTTCAGCAGTATAGCCTTGAAAATAACGAACATTTCATTCTGGCTGCTAATGGAAACACAGTGGAGCTTGTTTTAGATAAGGAACTTGATCGAGAAAAAAAGAAAGAAATTAATTTACTCCTTACAGCTTTAGATGGCGGATCTCCTCAGAGATCGGGTACAGTGGTCATACATGTAACTGTACTGGATGCTAATGATAACGCCCCAGTGTTTAGCCAGGCCGTTTATAAAGCCAGTCTGCCTGAAAACTCTCCTATAGGTACTGTAGTGATAACAGTGAGCGCAACTGATGCAGATGAGGGAGTGAATGGAGATGTGACTTATGATTTTGGACATGTTACCAATGAAGTAATGAAAATATTTAACATTGATGAAAAAAAAGGTGAAATACGCTTAAGTGCTGTCGTTGACTATGAAGTTTCAACATCTTATGAGATACGTATTAAAGCAAAGGATGGTTTTGGACTTTCATCCTATACTAAGGTTATTATTTCTATCGATGATGTGAATGACAACGCCCCTGTTGTTAGTCTGAAATCACTGAACAATCAAATACCAGAAAACACTCCAGCTGGTACAGAGGTGGGCATCATTAATGTGCAGGACAGAGACTCTGGGAATAATGCACAGGTTATCTGCTCCATCCAGGAAAATGTCCCTTTTAAGTTGGTTCCTTCTATTAAAAACTATTATTCGCTAGTGACCACAGGACAACTGGACCGTGAACTAGTATCTGATTACAACATTACAATCACTGCCACTGATGAGGGCTCTCCATCTCTGTCCTCCTCTAAAACTATTCAGTTATCTGTAGCTGACATCAATGACAACCCACCTGTGTTTGAGGAACAGTCCTACAGCGCATATGTGAGTGAAAATAACAAACCTGGATCCTCTTTATGTACTGTTTCTGCTAGAGATCCTGACTGGAGACAAAACGGTACAGTGATTAATTCTCTGTTACCTGGTGAGGTGAACGGTGCCTCGGTGTCCTCCTATCTATCTGTTAATGGAGACACAGGAGTGATCCACGCTGTGAGGTCATTTGATTATGAACAGTTCAGGAGTTTTAAAGTCCAAGTGATGGCCAGAGACAATGGTTCTCCTCCTCTCAGCAGCAATGTGACTGTCAGTGTGTTCATATCGGATGTAAATGACAACTCTCCTCAAATACTGTACCCAGCACCAGAGGGCAGCTCCTTCATGACTGAGTTAATCCCTAAAGCTGCACATGGAGGGTCTCTGGTGTCCAAAGTGATAGCAGTGGATGCAGACTCTGGACAGAATGCCTGGTTGTCCTATCAAATACTCAAAGCCACAGATCCTGGACTTTTCAGTATTGATCTGCACAGTGGAGAGATCAGGACACAGCGGGACATTTCAGAATCTGACAGCATGAAACAGAATTTGATTGTTACTGTGAAAGATAATGGACAGCCCTCTCTGTCTGCCACCTGCTCAATTTATTTACTTATTTCTGATAACTTGGCTGAAGTGCCAGAACTGAAAGACATTTCTTATGATGAGAAGAACTCCAAGTTGACCTCTTATCTGATCATTGCACTGGTTTCTGTTTCCACCTTCTTTCTGACCTTCATCATCATCATACTTGGAGTGAGGTTTTGTCGCAGGAGAAAGCCCAGACTGTTGTTTGATGGAGCAGTAGCCATACCAGGAGCTTATCTACCTCCAAGTTATGCAGATGTTGACGGCACAGGAACTTTACGCAGCACCTACAATTACGATGCCTACCTGACAACAGGATCTAGAACCAGTGACTTTAAGTTTGTATCATCTTACAATGACAACACTCTGCCTGCTGACCAGACTCTGAAGAAAAGTTTGAGTGATTTTACTGAGGCTTTTGGAGAACTGGAAGGATGCTCAGAGGTACGATGACACTCTTAAGCCATTTTTGCATGTATTCCCCTGCACTTATATTAATTCATTTATTCTTTTTTGTTTGTTTGTTGTTGCATATTGAAATAGTTCTTAGTGTAACTTTCTAGCACCAAGACATTCCTAGGTTCAGTTCTTGGCCATGGCTGCTCTGCTCTGGCTTGTTTCTGTGGTATAAGTTTATTCATATTAGGCTAATTTGTGTCTTTTATAAAATGCACTCAACATGTGCAAAGTTGTTTTTCCAGTTTGTCTTTTTGTTGCCTTGTGATATGCAAGCAAGTCTTCCTGGGTGTATTCCTCTTCTGCAATGACTGCTGTAGATAGGCATCAGATCCTTCATACCCAGTAAGGATAAGCTGGTGTCAACTCATTGTGGTGTGAAAGTTCATAGCTGAGAAATTACAGTTTGAGTGTAACTGTACGTTACTGTAAAGGCATAGTCCACGTTGTCATTACCTCTCAGGAGAATTAAATAGTATTTAGAAGTGTAATAATCTGGATGATATATTCACACCACATGCTGAATCTTTATATACATGCTACAGCTGTTTATAAAGAGAATAAAGTGTTGAGCACATTACTGGTAAAGATGTAATAATACAGTGCTTTTGATTAGTATTTACATGTGGATTTTGTAAACCTAAATTACAGAATCATTGTCATTATTGATGGAATTTATGACTCTTTTAAGGGAACTAAGTCATCAATATCTGTTGACTTAAGATCTATTCAAAAGAGCCACTAAAATGATAAATATTTGAAAAATTAACAAAAACAAAATCTAAGAACAATCCATTTCATGCCTAACTTAATTTTGCATCACATTTTTGATGGTGAAGTTCACCTAAAAGTTGAGCCATCTATTTTGAGTAAAAAAAAACAACAACGTTTTTTTCCAAAAATCAAAATCGGTGTATATTTTCATAAAATACAAAATTTCATTTGCCCATAACATTCTGTGGCACAACTGTTTTGTGCATTAGTAACACCTTAGTGATATTTATAATACTGAAGCAAAATACAAGAGAAATGTAACAGAGAAAAAGGTTGACATGAGTTGCTTTGGCAGAAACAAAAATATTTTTCTATGCCATTAAATTTAACTGTTAAGGCAAACTACACTCAACTTTGAACATTATACAAGGAGCAACAAGCAAGAAGAGACTTTGGTTTGTAATCACACTCTGACCACCCCCATTCTCTCTCCTCCGCTGCATGAAGCCTGCAGCATTGTCACAACCAGGCCATGTGATGAAAGCAGTGAGCAATTAGAATGTGCTCTGTGTGTTCATCTTTTCTTGCATTTTATTTAATTGGCAGTTAAATAAAGTGTAATTTTAAATTAGATAGAAAAATAATAGCTACTGCAGTATGTGCAAAGCACTGGAAGAAAGCAAGATTGCGAAAAACAAAGGATGGCTCTGACTAACAGACACTCCAGTGTTATGGTAAAGAGTCGTTCAGAAGAATCAGATTTTTTGTGAACGTCACACCATTAATTGTTATTCTCTTGAAATATTCACATGGTCTTCTGGTGTAGAGTAGAAATATATATTTTCTCAATGGGAATGGCTTGAAAGTTTCAGACTCCTTCTTTATTACACTTTGTGATGTTGTTGAAAAATGCAGGTGTTTTTATAAAGACATTTCTGGATGCTTTGTTTCTTAAGCGGTAGTGGTTTTCCCTCCTTCTTTCTTTACTTTTTTCTGGCGTTTTCCTGTCAAATCTTGGCTTCTCCCAGCAAAGTGCATGTTCTGATATGATTCATCAAGGTTTTTGTGCTAACTTAATATTAATTTATTAATTGATTTTATCATCAGGCTTTGTTTCTTTTGCATTTTTGTTGACAAGGTTGAGATTATGTTACATCATTTTAATAAGAGATTAATTTATCTTTGAAATGCATCAAATCCATTTAATGTACATCGTGTTGCATTTTGTGCAGAAATTATGAGTTTTATAGGAATAAAACTACAGAATAAACAGTTTTGTTTAAAGTTTTTGAGTTGAATTTTGAGGTGTTTCGGTAGTTCGGAAAGTTACTGCATATTCAAGTCCTCTACTTGCTTTTTATTGTAGAAATGAACACATTTATGTTGAATATATATATATCCCTGCTTTTTGTGTCAATATTTCTTTTTAAATATTTTGTTGACTTTAGAGCATAATGCCTGACTGCAATTAAATCCTATATAAATATCTCAGTTGTAAGTAAGTTGAACGAGGAAAACATTGCATGATTGCCATAACGCTTGAAATGTTACAGGAATGTGAACCACCTGTTTTCTTTGCCTGCTACATTTCTTTCTGCTTGGGGTACACTAGAGCAGTATAATCAAATGAAATGCTGATGTCGATGTAGGTGAACAGAAAAATCAACTTGACTTTCACATACAAACAGTTAAGGCTTATATTATAAGTTCAATGTTCTTTTGGTGTAAATCAAATCTAAAGAATGGACAAATAGTAGGAGGGGGAACTATATTTGTAGCTACAGATGTGCAACATGACACAGCTGACACAAAATTAACCATTGAAAATGATGAAGAAATACACGGTTGAGAAAGAAGAACTTTGTGGATGCATGACAAAGTCAAGTATACTTACAATAGAGTTATTCATATTGGCTGATTTAAAAGTAGAACGTTATGAGAATTTTTTAAGCCATAGATCGTTCATAATAGATAAATATTTACTTTACATTTTATATATTCTTGGACACACTGAGCATGTTTGAAGATTTGGAAGATTATTTCTTAAACTTGAACCCACGGTGGCGCTATAAAACAGGATAAGGATATTTTAGTCCTCACTCGTTTTGCGCGTGTTCATGATACTCCTCTTGTCTGTCGAGGAGGAAAACCACATATTTGTGTCGCTGTTGGTGTTTTATGCTTAAACTATTTATGTCGTCGTTCACTGATTTTTTTTATGCTGACTGAAATTAATTACTAAAGATGAATTCTATGTTCGCCATTGTTCTGCCCTGCGGATATTTTGTATTCGTTTTTTGGATCAACGTCGCGCACGGAGACATGAGCTATTCTTTATCGGAGGAGATGAAACGAGGTTCAGTTATTGGAAATATCGCTAAGGATCTCGGGCTGCAGACAGGTGCGCTGTCCACCAGAAGAGCTCGAATTGACACCGAAGGGACTGATAAACGTTACTGTGACATAAACCTGGAGCACGGAGAGCTGATTGTGGCGGAGAGGATTGACCGTGAGGAGCTTTGTGGCAAAAAACCTTCGTGCATCTTAAAACAAGAGCTCGTTTTGGAGAATCCTCTGGAGCTGCATCGGATCAGCCTTCATGTTCAAGATGTTAATGATAACTCTCCGCAGTTCAACGAAAAATTGATCAGTCTAGAAATCCATGAATCGGCAGTCAAGGGAGCTCGCTTTGTGATCGAGGAGGCGAGCGATGCGGATGTAGGACAAAATTCAGTTCAGCAGTATAGCCTTGAGAAGAACAACAATTTCATTCTAGCTGCTAATGGAAACACAGTGGAGCTTGTTTTGGATAAGGAGCTTGATCGAGAAAAACAAAAGGAAATTAATTTGCTCCTTACAGCTTTAGATGGCGGATCTCCTCAGAGATCAGGTACAGTGGGCATACATGTAACTGTACTGGATGCTAATGATAACGCCCCAGTGTTTAGCCAGGCCGTTTACAAAGCCAGTCTGCCTGAAAACTCTCCTATAGGTACTGTAGTGACAACAGTGAGCGCAACTGATGCAGATGAGGGAGTGAATGGAGATGTGACTTATGATTTTGGACATGTTTCAGAGAATGTAAAGAACGTTTTTGGCCTGGATCATAAGACGGGAGAATTAAAACTAATTAGCGAGATAGATTTTGAAACGGTTTCAAATTATGACCTACGCATTAAAGCGAAAGATGGCTTGGGATTGTCATCTTACACTAAAGTGACTGTACATGTCACCGATGTAAACGACAATTCGCCTGTTATCTATGTAAAGTCTTTAGCAAACCCAATACCTGAAAATGTGTCTCCTGGCACAGAGGTGGGCATCATTAATGTACAGGATGTAGATTCTGATAACAGCCAAAATGTTCGCTGCTACATTCAGCAAAATGTTCCTTTTAAGTTGGTTCCTTCTATTAAAAACTATTATTCTCTGGTGACCACGGGAAAACTGGACCGTGAACTAGTATCTGATTACAACATTACAATCATTGCCACTGATGAGGGCTCTCCACCTCTGTCCTCCTCTAA